AAAATAGCTTACAGAATTAAATATAAGACAAGACATTATAAGCCTCCTAGAAGAAAACATAGGCAAAACATTTTCTGACATAAATGTTAGCCTCACAGAGAAAAAAATGTGACAATGAATATATATATGTTCATGTATAACTGAAAAATTATGCTCTACACTGGAATTTGACAAAACATTGTAAAATGATTATAAATCAATAAAAAATGTTAAAAAATGTTAGCAATGTTCTCCTAGGGTAGTCTACTCAGGCAATAGAAATAAAAGCAAAAATAAATAAATGGGACCTAATTAAACTTACAAGCTTTTGCACAGCAAAAGAAACTATAAACAAAACAAAATGACAACCTATGGATGGGAGAACATTTTCAAATGATGCAACTGACAAAGGTTTAACTTCCAGAATATATAAATAGCTCATACAACTTAATAACAAAAAAAAAAAACAATCCAAAAATGGGCAGAAGACCTAAGCAAGCAATTCTCCAGTGAAGATATATAAATAGCCAATAGGCACATGAAAAATGCTCAAGATTGCTAATTATCAGAGAGACTCAAATCAAAACCACAATGAGGTATCACTTCATACCAGTCAGAATGGCCATGATTAAAAGATCCACAAATAATAATTGCCAGAGAGGAGTGTGGAGAAAAGGGAACCCTCCTACATTTTTGGTAGGAATGTAGTTTGGAGTAGTCATTGTGGAAAACAGTATGGAGAGTCCTCAAAAAACTAAAAATAGACTTACCATATGACCCAGCAATCCTATTCCTGGGCATATATCTGCAGGGAACTCTAATTCAAAAAGATAATGCACCCCAATGTTCATGGCAGCACTATTTAGAATAGCCAAGACATGGAAACAACGTAAATGTCCATCAACAGATGACTGGATAAAGAAGCTGTGGTATATTTACACAATGGAATACTACTCAGTCATAAGAAAGAATAAAATAATGCCATTTGCAGCAACACAGATGGGCCTGGAGATTGTCATTCTAAGTCAAGTAAGCCAGAAAGAGAAAGAAAAATACTATATGATATCATTCATGTGGATCTAAAAAGAAAAGAAAAAAGAAAAAAGAAGACACTAATAAACTTATCTACAGAACAGAAACAGATTCACAGACATAGTAAACAAACCTATGGTTACTGTGGGGAAGAGGGTAGGAAGGGATAAATTGGGAGTTCAAGAACTGCTAATATTAATTATTATATATAAAATAGATAAAAAATAATTTTTTCTGTATAGCACAGGGAACTATGTTCAATATCTTGTAGTAACCTATAATGAAAAAGAATATGAAAATGAACATATATATATAAAAAATAAATAAGTATAAGGAAATGTAGATATATTTTCGTATCCTCCCTCTTCTTACATAAAAAATAACATAGTTTGCAAACTTTTCTCCAGTATGCTTTCCCCATTAAATTAAAAATTCTAGAGATCCCTTTAGAGTGATATACAGAGAGCTTTCATATCTTTTCTATGCTGTGTGGTCCTCCAGGGCGCTTATTCCTCTGCTACTCTACATCCGGCTGGTCTCTAGGCTTTTACTATTAGAAAGACTGGCATGCAGTGTCGAAGCCCAAGCAGGGAGAGGAGGATGTTCACCCTGGGGAACCCCCTGCACAGTGTCAGAGGCCAAATAGCACACTGTAGAAAGGCATCTGTATGGAGGACAAGGTGTGGTAGCAGTGATGGGAAATTGGTTATATCCAGAGGGATTGATCAAACAGGTAAATATGTGAAGGATCTGGAGAGCTGTATCTCATTACTGGAGTAAAGAGTTACAATATAAAATGAAAGAAAATAAAAATGGATCCCCTTCACTGAAAACTACAAAACAATGAAGAAAGAAACCAAAGAAAAAGTAATTACAATGATACAAAACATTAATGTATTGAGAAACTCAATACTGTTAAGATACAAATCTTTCCCAAAGTGATTAATAGAGTCAATGTTATCCCAGTCAAAATTCCAGAAGACAGTTTAGTAGAAATTAGTAAGCTGATTTTAGTATTTATAATGAAATACAAAGGACCTAGAAGAGCCAAAATAATTTTGAAAAGGAAGAAAGTTGGAAGACTACAACTATATGATTTTAAATCTTATTATAAAATTATAATAATTAATAAAGTATGTTATTGGCACAAGGATAGAAATATATCCATGGTATGAGTCTTCTGTGATTTCTCTCTGCAATATTTTATTGTTTCCAAATAGAAGTCTTATATGTCGTTTGTAAGTATATTAAAATTTGACTCTATTGTAGATGGTATTGGCTTTTAAATTTGAGTTTTTAATTGACTATTGCTAGTACATATAAATAGAATTAATTTTACACTGGACTTCTATCTGGTGAGCTTGCTATATTTCTGTTTTAATTTCAGTTGTTCTTGTAGATTCATTTAGAATTTTCTACATATATAATCATGCCATCTATGAATAAAAATAGTTTTAATTATTCCTTTCCTCTGTATGCTTTTTATTTCATCTTCATGCCCATTGCACTGGTTAGGACTTCCAATACAATATTAAATAGAAGTGATTAGAGGAGAAACTTTGCCTTACTTCTAAACTTAGAGAGAAAAGCAGTCTTTCACCATTAAGTATATTAGCTGTAGATTTTTTTGGAAGATGTCCTTGATCAGGTTAAAAAAAATCTTCCCTTTATTTCTAGTTTGCCAAGAAGTGTTGTCATAAATAGACGTTTAATGCTTTTTCGGTACATATTGAGATAATCATGTGGTTTTCCTTTATTCTGTTAAGATAATAAATTATATTGATTGATTTTCAAATGTTAAACCAACCTTGCATTGCGGGACTAAAACTCAGTTGATTATAGTGTATTATCTTTTTTATACATTTCCGGACTTGATATCTCAATATTTTGTTAAGATTTTTCTAACTAAATTGATGACAGATATAGGTTTGTCATTTTCCTTTCTTTTAATAACTTTTAATATGTAGTTTTATTATCAGGGTTATGTTGGCCTCATAAAACAAGTTTTGGTACATTTCCTCGTCTTCTGTTTTCTGAAAGCACTTGGGTAACGTAAGCTTTATTTCTTTTTAAAATGTTTATTAGAATTCATCACTGACACTATCAGGACCTGGAGATTTCTTTGAAAGAAAAATTTTAATTATGATTCAATTTCTCTAATAGAAATGAGTCTATTCACTTTTTCTATTTCATTTTATGTTATTTTATCTAAGTTGTGTTTTTTCAAAGAAGTTTTCCATTTCATCTAAGTTGTCAATTTTTTTGGTATAAACTTGTTCATTGTTTTTTCTTATCACCTTTTCCATACCTATAGATCTTGTTTTGATGTTCCTTTATCCTTCTTTATATTAGCAATTTATGTTTTATTTCCTCAATGTCTTGATATATCAGTCTTGCCAAAGTTTATCAATATTAGTAGTCTTTCAAAAATCCAACTTTTGGAGTCATAATATTCTTTATTAATTAATTTCTACTTGTATCTTTTTTGGGGTCAGTGCTGGGGATATCTAAGTATGTCAGACACATTTCAGTGCTCAGATATGTTGGAATGAGCTGTTTATACACAGAGGGCAATTAGCAGGAAATGAACTTCTGTTTGTCCAAAGTTACGGACTGACTTTCAATAGAAGCTGTTTAACTGTTAGACATTATTTAGTTAAGAAAAAAAAGCAAAATAAATTCTTTACTCAAATAGGATATAATAGGATTAAAAACCCTAATGTTATTTGATAGGACTTATATTTTACTGTTAAACTTAAATGTTCTAAATTATTCAAGTTCAATCACCTGGATTATAAAAAACATTCTTTTCACGATATAGTACATAATCAACAAAATTTTTCAGAAAAACCTTTGACTCTTTATCAGAAAAAAAATCATAGACCTAAACTTTGATTGAAAGACTAATGAAAATGGTTCATAATTGTCATTGCTATCTCTGAATCCAGAAATAACATATGTAAGTATTTTACAGAGAAATGGTACTCTGTGTCTGTGTAATGGGTACAATATTTTAAAAATATTTTTTGGTTTGTTTTTTCTAACTGTGAATCACTGTGTTTCCCTGAATCTTGGCCAATACAAAAGGCTTGGTTTGAGACAGGTGTAAAGAAGCCTCGACAGAGGAAGAAAGAGTGAAAAAAGAAATGCACTCTGGTCCCTGAAATAGAAAGAAGAAAGTGAATGAAGGACAGGAAGGTAGTGAGACATTTGGATTCCAATCTCCTCTTTCTGGTCTAAAGTCCCAGAGTAGGCTAGGGGGAAGCCAAGGGCAGAGGGCCTTTCCTCCCACTTCCTGCCTGAGACTCTGGCAGGAGACCACCTGGCAGGTTGCCTGCCTCCAAACCCTTGTCATTTTATCGAGGAAAGGGCAGGACAGCAAATTTGGAGGGGGAGAAACAGTATAAGCTTCTGAGCTGCATTCAGTCCTCCTGCACTTTCAGTAGTTTATTCTGCTGTTAGATCTCAAAGCTGAGATGCCAGCCTGAGCAGTCTAAATTCAGAATCTGAACACTTGACTATGCAGCTGTGCATGGAGAGAAGGAGAACTGTAGAGAATTCCTGCTGTTTCCAAAGTGTAAACAGGCTTCTTAAAATTACTAATGCTGTCGTTTCCCTACCTGAGCTTAAAGGGCCTCCAAGCACGACCAGACTCCTGGAGAGGCTTATGTCCTGCCATCCAGCAATGTACAGCTACACCTGCATTAAGAGAAAGATGCACAGCCTTAAATGCCCTCACCATTAGATAATAATGAAAATATATAACCTAATATTCTAAAGAAAAAGTTAGGAAAGCAACGATAAAGGAATTTAAAATTAAGGAAAGCAGGTGAGAAGAATTAATAAAGGCAGAAATTAACTAATTTGAAAACAAAGATTTTGCCAGAAATAAATACATATTGGTTCTTTGAGCATACTAGCCATCAAAACAAATCTCTGAAAGTCAAATAAATATCAAAACAAAGAAAATATGAATATGAAGCATTTGGAGTAAGAAGGAGAATATAACTACAAATAAAAAAGGGTGTTTTTTGTGTTAAGTTCTAGAGAATGTCATGTATAATCCATTTTATGCTGAAACTCTGAAAATTTCATTGATATTGATGCCCTTTTTGGGTGAAATAGGAAACCAAATTAAAACAAGAAGAGGAAAAAAATCTGAACTGAGCAATAATCATGGAAGGAAAACATGAAGCTGTCAAAGCATAAAAGCTGCTGCCCCCAGGGAGCCATTTCTTGAGCAAGTTTGTTCAGATCTTAAAGAAAAATTATTTCTTTGCTATATAGATTCCTTTTGAGCTTATAAACAGAGAGAAAGCTTCCTTATTAATATTAGACGGCTAACATAATCCTGATTCCTGACTCTAATAGAAGTAACACCCAGAGGGTAAAAACATAACATATTGCATGTTCACGTATTAATGTTAATGCACAAGAGTCCTAAATAAAATAGAGAACCTAACTCAGCACCTTATGTTCCAGAAATTCCTTTATTATTATTATAATTTCTAATAATTTCATTAATTACTTGAGCATTTCTTATATGTCTGGTGGAATCTAAGGCAATGGGATAGGAAAAAGGGAAAAAGCCGAATCGAAAAAAACCAAAGAAATTTCCTAGTGGCAAGTCTTCTCAATGCCTTTTATTTGTTCATATACAAGAAGGATCAACTGTCTTCAGTCTTTCCAAATTTAGTTGATTATAAAATCTTTTTTAATGCCAGAAATAATGTGATTTCTAACTCAGTTTGAGAAACACTCGATAATGTCAACAGATGAAAAGGAGGAAAGCAGGTAATCATTTTGATGGATGGTAAAACAGCGGTTGACAAAATTCAATGTTCATTCTGTTAAAACACTTTGGAGGTACACTCCAAAGTGAGAGCCAACCTAAAATTTCACAATGATGGATTAGAGGCATTCTTGCTTAAGTCAGAAAAAGAAAAACAAATTAGCATGCTTATGTAGGAATGCTTAAATATTCTCACTGGGGCACTGATGCAAGAAAAGAAATAACAGACACAAATATGGGGAAGGAAAATATACAATGTTAATTTATAATGATCAGTTATCAGAAAAAGAACTCGAAAGAGCCGAAGTAAATGTTGAAATCTTAAGAATATTCAATAAGTTGTTCAGTTAGCAAAGACAAGATCAATCACAATGATGTACAGCAGAAATTAACACAACATTGTAAACTGACTATACTTCAATAAAAATATATATAACCAAGAAATAAACCATTAGGAAATGGAAAAAATTATCTCATTTTCAATAACCACAAAATATAAGAAATAAATAGGAAAAAAGTAAAAGAAGGATCCTGGACCTATTTGAACAAAATGCTTCAACTCCACTGAGGGCCATAAATGAAAAGTTGGACAGCCAGAGACACAACATGAATCTGACAAAATATACGTGAACATAATTCAACAGCAAACTATTTGCTAATAAAAATATTTTCCATATATACTACAAAGGGTAAATCTCCTTAATACAAGACTTGATAAGAAAAAAATTAATACAATAAATGGCAAAGCTTCATTAACACAACTTGGAAGATAAGAGAAAATTAACCAATTGACACACGAAAATATGCTTAACTTCATTATTCAGCAAAAGAATGCAAACTGATAATAATGAGTTACCATGTTTTATCTATTAAACTGTCAACTATTACAAAATATGATGATACTCAGTGGTTAGGGTGATGTAGGGCACAGATACATATGACTTCTGGGAAAAAAACTGGAACTGTTTTTCAGTGGGCAATGTAACATTATATACTGCAACATCTTTAAATACCTTGGATGCCATTGCTAATGTTTTACTCTGAAAATTTTTAAAGATCTGTGAAAGGCTTAGCTATGAAATTTCTCTCATGGTATTTTATTTAGAGTGAAAATTTGGAGAAGCATAAATGTTCACAATAGGAAATTGGTTAAAAACACTTTTTATACAGAAATACTTTATTCTGTCATTATTAATTATACTATGCATGAAATTTTGCGATCTAGAAATACTCTCCTGATGTATTCAGAAGAATAGACAGGTTAAGAAACATTAAAAAGAGATTGACAGCGTCTAAGAACAAGATAGAGAGATACACAGAGAAGATTCAAATGAATATATGCACAGCTGTTAAATGTAGCTATGTGAAGGAATTTGGGGTGTGTTTTATTTTGTGTTTCAATTATCTGTAATTTTTTTACAATTAATATGCAGTATTTATAACAACATCAAAAAGCAGTAAAATGTATCATTTCAATTGTGAATAATATTACAGCAAAATATCAGTGACGGTTATCTCAGGATGAGAGGGCTGTGGAACCTTTCCATTTATGTTTTCATTTGTAAACTTTTTTTGGGTTCCTTTTAATGAACCGGTATAACTTCTGCAATTAAAAAAAAAGCCAAATACTATTTAAAAAAAAAAAAAGCAACACCTAGATGCTCTCTGTTGCCATTAGAGTCCAAAGTTCATTTGAAAGTATGTAAGTTTCTTCATGATCTGGCCCTTACTTCCCAGAAGACATCTCTCTTACTATCTCCTCCACCACAGTCCAAGGCGGGACAGAACTACTTTCAGTTCTCTAGAAAGACCAAAGCTCACTCTCTCGCTCTGGGCATTTGCTCCTGACCCCATGGACCTTCCCACTTCTCACAACTCCTTCTACTGGAACCTTCCCACCCCCTCACCCTTCACCACACTGCTTGGTGAGTCAGGTGCTCCCTGCATACCTACATCATTGCATTAATCACATACCATTTTCTCTTTGCTTGTCTTTCTCACTCACTGGATTCTAAATTCCCTAGAGGGAAGCACTTAATGAGCGATCAACCATTATTGTTATCAAAGGAGGTAATGAATGAGTAAGAGAATTAATGGAACCAGCCTCTGTGTATCAGATCCTGCTGCTGACACCTCAGTTACTTTATCTCACTGAATCCTAACCAAGATTTAGGAGGTAGGTATTATTATGCCGCCTTTCCAGATAAGGAGACTAAGAATCTAGAAATTTGGTTTGCCCTCTGTAGCCCCTAGCATATAGTGAATGCTAATAATTACTGAATAACAGAGTAAAAGAGCACTCATCGTCTGTGGCCATTTCTGTAAAGTCAAAACTAAGTGAAGAAATGTGCTTGCTAGTTACCTGGGTAATTAAAACAAAAATCACCTTGCTATAAGGATGAGGTTGAGAGTGGAAATAGAAACAGGTTGTTTATTTTACTTTTTTCTTTTTGTCCTGAATTATCTTAAATGGCTACACAGAGTGCTGGAATTCATCTACGTTGAAACCCCTTGAGAATTTTTATAGGTTGAACCAGAACAGAATAATGAAATGAACCCTCCTAGGCAGGAAGGCAGAAGCAGACATGAAAGATGATTTCTCTGCGTTATTTGGCCTTTATGGAAAGAACCACGATAAGCTTCTAGAAAATACATTATTTATGTGATGCAATAAGGTGAGCTTTCTTTCTTCTTTTCAAATAATAACTTATTTTATATTAACCATGGTATGAAACATTGCCACTAAAGTTGTTCCTCAGAACAAGTGAATTGTATTTGATCTCATACCCTGACCTTTCCATCTATTTCCATAATTCGCATCTTTCATCAGTGAAGCTTTATTCGTGTCAATATTCCATTTCTAGTTCAGCATGGATTCAATGGATTCAAGAAATTTTTCTCTCTTGAATCACACCCTTTGTTCCCTACATTTAGTTTTCTTTGGTTTCCAAGTGATCCTTGGTCAATTCATGCTTACCTCTGTATTTCATTCCCTTCTACAAAAATAACACCCTTTAGTTGTGCAACAGTTGAGAAAATAGATGTTTGCAAGTAATTTTTATTTTGTTAATAAATAATATTTATTTATGCAAGATTGTTATTGGAGCACCAGGACAAACAAATTCAAAATTCAAATAAGGAGATTTTTATTCAGGATATCAATTTAGAGGAGAAAGTTAATTAGGACTTGATATAAAATTTACAAATCTAAATCACACAAATATGAATGTTCTTCCCCAGTGACATTTGGTAACAATTTAGGCGCTGACTCATAAATGCATACAGAGCAAATGTTCATTTTCTTCCTTCTCACCATGGAAAGCCTCTTGTGTGCCAGGTGCTGTGTTAGACACAGACTCTTTCTGTTGGAGTTCGTGGTCTTGGGGCAAGACAGACGAAATCACACTAATGAGTGTATAATTACAAGCCAAGGTGAGTATCCCGGAGACAAGGAGCATGGTCACAGGAGCTTCTCTTGGGTGAAACAGTCAAGTGGCTCACCTTCCAAATCTCTAAACTGTGCTCTGTGAAATTCCTGCCCTGCCTGTGACCACACTGAAACATTCTCCCTGCCAAATGCTTGAGGAGAAAAACTTGATAGACCTGAACTGGCCTGAATTTTAAAATTCAGTTAAAAAGTCTTCTGCTTTACTGTTGACACTGCAGCATATCTTATTTTCAGGTGTGAAATGAGAAATTTCATCTGGGTGGCTGCCCACCTACCAAGGCTTCATTTAGAATCTGTGGTCCAAAGTATTTGACTGTCTGCAGCAAAGAAGGGCTTGGAACAAGCACCAGGGTTAAAGCCACTGTGACAACAGCCAGGCAGTGTGGTAGCATCTGGCAGCATGCATGGTGTTGCCTGGACAACAATGTCTTGCTTCACCATTGCTCACAAATAAACTCCCTTTGTACCCCCATACACACACACCCTCACATCAAATGCTTACACTTAATTAGAAACATTAGGTAAAGAATGATAAAGCAAGATGCTTGAGTCCATGCAGAACAACTTAAAGCCAGGGAAGGAACTGAATGAGTAGAAAGAAAAATTGGCCTTTTGGCAAATACACAGGTCAAGGCAGACTTTGTACCTGGGTATAATGGATTGGGTTCAAGGTTAAGTGAGTTCCTGTTAGGTGCCTGATGACTTCGCGTGGAGTAAGTATCATCTTACAAAACTGTAGAAGAACAACTCAGAAAGTTAGGTCTGTTAGCAGAGAAGGGAGGAGCAGAGGGAGGGAGGGACAGCCCAGTCCTCAGGTGGTTTCATTTCTCTTTGAATGCTCAGAGTTTTGGATTTGAATCCAAGTCTCTGACCTCAAAGCTCTGCATTTTCTACTAAAGGGTAAGCGTACAACAAAATTCTCATTTCTAAAAGTCAGCCCTCCACATAAACTCAGTCCATGCTGATTTCAGAAAGCAGAGGAAATTTTAGTGGTTCCCCATGAAACGATGAAAACACTTAAACTCCCCGAAAGGCTTTCACAGCCTCCCACCAAACAGCTCCCAACTATTGGTCTGATCTTACTTTCCACTTCCAGGAACAGCACTAGACCAGCATTTCATGGTGTCGGCTGTCTCCCTCCAGATACTCCTCTCCCACCACCAGAGACCTTAGCATTCTTCATGTCCCTGCTCCTACCATCTCACCCTCTGCAGGAGGGCTCCCAATTCCCTTCCAGATTCTTGTCACTCTCTCTGGACTTCTGTCACCTGTATCAAGTCTGAGGTCATCTTCAGCCACTTGGACATTTCCCCACAGACCCAGCACAATACAGGGCATGTAACTGGTTTCCAATAAATATTGATTGCGTTGACTTTAAAGGCGATGGTCTGTAACTTTATTTGCAGCTAACCTTAATAATCTCTGGAAGTTTCTCCTGGAAGATGGGAAAATCACATTTCCGTGGTCTAACACGAAATTCAAAGGCAGAAAACCCAGCATGGCTGTCTTGTAAGTGGCCCCTGTTACTCCTGGTGCCTGATTAAGAACTTGCCTGCCCAACCAGGTTATGTGTGTATGTTAGACCCGACTGGGAGAATGAAATGATGCTGGACAGAAAAAGTCCCACTGATTTTGCTTCATGCACCTCAGCTCAGCGGCTGGGCCTGGGTGCCAGCCGCACCCATTGAAATAGTAACCAGAGTCCTGAGTGTTTTGAGAGGAGCTGTGGACTTGAGAGGCATCTGTTTCAAAGGCTCCAGTGGTTGCTCTGGGAGATGCACCTGCTGAGATGCCATTTGAAATTCCAGTTTCTTAACAAACGTCCTCTCACTGGCTGAAACCACAGCTCCAGCAGACTCCAGGGGGCTGTCTGCACTGCCCTCAGGTTCACGGCTAGCAGGTCTGCTCTGCAGGACTCTAGAAATGCAGTGCCTGTGTCTTCCTTAATCCCTTAATTGGCTCTGAGGAGATTCCATCCTCCTGAAAAGGCCACAGGGAGATAGGGAGCAGTGGTGAAAAAAAAAAAAGCATCCTGACTATTGAAATGATACTCATTTATTCCATGAGCACTTAACACCAAAATGAAAACAAACATAAAATTACAAAGTAGTTTATGTCCTTTTCCTTATTTAATATTGCCAACATTGTTCTTCACAGCCGCATGCTGCCTTCCTTCAAAAGGTCCCAATGCACTTCTCAGATGTCATGTGGACACAGACATCCCTGACAAAAGAGCAGAGACTGCTAAGTGGCGTATCCTGCCCTTGCCTCAACAGCCTTCTCCAAGTTCAGCATTTGAATGTGAGGATGGAAAAAAATGGTAAAGAGAGGAGGTAGGTTGGATAGACAGACAGAGATAGAGGTCAGACAGAGAGAGCCAGGAAGAAAGATGGAAGAGAGACAGACACAGGGAAAGGCTATGTTGAAGACAGCCTTCACCCAAGCCAGTGCCAGGGCTGCCCTGGGCTAAATGGTTGTCCAAGACATTTTTTTTCCTCCCAAGCACCACTCCCTCTGCTCTCCTGCCACACTTCCCCTACCCACATCAGCCCGCTAAGACTCTAGTATCCCCAAGTCAGACCCCGCCTGGCATGGCAGAGATACAGAGATGCTTTTATAGAGTAACAGAGTAAGAAACAGGTTCAAGGAAAGAGAACATGAGAAAACAGACATGGGGAGAAGGAAAAAGAGAGAGAGAGGTGCTGTGATCAGGGAGAATATCTCTGGGAAGCGATGTTCACTTACAAAGTAATAAGCCTGCTGGGAGGGGGCACGGGAGGGGTGGAGGGTTATCTCCCGCCTTCGCCTCACCTCCACTGGGGCCAGGCTGGCTGCGAAGTGGAGGAGGGGCCTTTCCCCGTCCCCTGCCTTGTAGCTCAGTTGCCAACCACCGGTGATCTCCAAGGTCCCCGACTTGCAGGGCTGACTCCTCCTTTTAATATTTAAGTGACTATGACTTATATTTAGGAAACATACACTTAAGTCTATAGAGTTCAACTGTCATGCTGTCTTACAGTTTATAAGCCAATGTCTTCACAAAAAATACATAATAAAAATCAAAAACATATGTAGAGAAAGAAATAAAACAAATGTGGCTAAATGTTAATTCTTGGCTCTATATGGTGGGCATAAGGAAGTCAGAGTGCTATTCTCGCAACATTTCAGAATGTTGCAACTTTTCATTTATAAAAGGTTGAAACATTTTTTAAAAAAATAGTAAAAAGCAAGAAAAGATTGCACGGAGATCCTTGCCCTTGCCCAGTGGGTGGGAAATCAACGCCCTTCCACACCGCTCCCAGGCGCTGCTCGCTCTGATTCCCTGCACTTGCTGAGTCTTCTCTTCAGCCTCTCCTCACGTTTGCTTGGGCTCCCTGCTCTGCACCCCACATGGACCAAACAGGGAATACAGCCTCTTCTTCCTTGATCCCCACAAAACTCGCGACACAAGGCAGTGTGTACAACCACTTCGACCAAGACCCTGGGGCAGTGGTTGGGGGCGGGGCTTACGTTACAGAGCATCGAAGGATGTAACGGAAAATGAAATATTTTAAAATCCAACTTACAAATACTGTTTCCCTATATGGTTTTAAAATGAACAATGCAGTTTAACATCCTACTCTTGAAGTAATATTTCCAATAAAGTAAGACAACTGAAGGGTGGCCGCAGCTGTTTCTAGGAGTCTCCTAGCCAATGCCACCACCGGGAGGACCGGCTTAAGGCTTTCCTGCTGATCTTCTCTCCTCTTCAAGTCCCAGCCTCCCATCACACCGCTCAGCTGGTTCTCTTTCCTCCTCCACCCCTCCCTCTCTCTGGTCACAAAAACTGAATTCAACTCAATTTCTCATGCAAAACCACTCAGCTCTCTCTCTATTCTGTCCCCTGCTTCCAAACTCTATGTCGATCTGAGTGGTAGGAGGGACCACTGCATTCAATAGAGCCACAGCTCTATTAATTCATTTGGTTAAGCAAAAAAATCATTTGCCCCCTGAGAGCAATTACGCTAGCAGAGGGCAGAAGCATCAATGCCATGTTTATTTAAACAGCATTTAGAAAATTTTTGCTACTGTGACCTGTGGCTTCACCAAAGATCCCTATTTAAAATGTGGCAAACCCTCAATTGCAGTTTGTATGGGAACTTTTGTGAAGCCTGCCGCAGAAAGGCAGCTCTATTTAAAATGAGCTAGAAGAATGCTGCTGTCATCATATCTCCCTGGGTCACTAGCCTGGGAGAGGACAATTGAAACAATGTAAAGACGTCTACTGCCACCCACCTCTTCCCAGCCTGATGATCTGCCAAGTATCACTGGTATTCTTGGCTCAGCCCCCTACTGACAGCTCTATTCAGCCTCTTCAATTCTGTTCAAATTTTATTGACTGGATCTCAGCTCCTTCCGGGGGCCTTACTTTGTTTTTCCTGTGCCAGGGTCCCAGACCTGTTCTGGACCAATGCTGTTTCCAGAAAATCTGCTTTCCGAGCACGTCCTCCTACAGTTTAACCTGTTTGGTTTCCTAAGAGCAGGATTCAATGACCTCTGCCCTCATATTATTTTTGCCAGTCCCAGTTTTCATGGGCCACATGACAACCCTGAGGAACATCTTCCCTTCCTTGTCATTTCTTCCTCCAATATCCCAACTCCCACAAGATACTTCTTCCTGGAGGCTTATTCCAGTTCTCCACTTCGAGGGAAGTCAGTGCACACTCTGCCTGGAGCTTTGGATAATCAGAAAGAGCCATGGATAGATAATCAACAAGTTTCTACTGAATAGCACAGGAAAGTATATTCAATATATTATAGTAATGTGTAATGAAAAAGAACAATGAAAACAAATATATGTATGTATATGTATGACTGAAACATTACGCTGTACACCAGAAATTGATACAACATTGTAAACTGACTATACTTCAATTAAAAAAAGAAAAGAAAAAGAACCATGGAAACATTACTGGTCTAAGACCAACCAAAGGCCTCCTTGTTCTGAGCAAGACCACGTTGGAGCTTTTTGCTTGCATTAAAATGGAGGCTTCAGCACGATAAGAAATAAAAACATGTTCAAAGGTCTCACTCTCCCATCCTCTATTAAATGAAGTTCCAGGTAATATTTAAATAGCACCTTCACTCCTGGATAAAGGACCCACAAGAGGCCCCAATCAGTGGCTGATGGCTCCACAGCAGCCAAAACTCTGTGAGTAATCCAGGGCAGGGTAGCCATCTCTACCCTCTCGCTATTTCACTCAGGTTAAACGGTACGATTACAAGTTATCTTACCAGATTTGAGACAGTATGGGATAAATGTCATCCTGCTTTTGGTAGAATCATAAAAGCGAGTAAGCATGATGTCCAAACAAATAGACTTTTAGGCTAGAGTTTGCAAAAGTTACATGTTTTTTGTTGTAATTGTAATTGCCCTAAAAGAGAGGCATTTAGATCTTCTTGTTCCTTTCCTAAAAATCTACAACTGATAGGCAAAGCCTGTTAATCCTATCTGCTTTCCATAATTGGAAAACATTATCTGATGGACTCAGGGGTCTCCTGTAACAACTGCATGCCAGCAAGTGGTACCCTGCACCCTCGTCCTCTTCCAGGTGCACGCCTGTTCTCTGCCTCAGCGAATAGCCTGGGGTTACCAACGTCTTCATCCTGGGCAACCAAAGTGCTTCCCATGGAATTGTGTAACTCGAGCTCAGGAGAGACAGCCCTCTCTGCTCTAGAGACGATTGGGAAATGAGAGTCCAGAGCCATCAGCTGCTCCCGGGTCTACTGCCTGTCCCAAAGCCATCTGCTGGAGGAGAGAAGGAACTCGACACAAACGAGAGAGGCAGACGTGAGTAACACCCAGGGCGACGGAGGTTCCAGTGTCAGAAGTCCTGTGAACAGCGCTGGGTACAGCCCTCCTGAGGTTCTGCTTTTAGGTTGTGTGTGTTTTTTTTTTTTCTGATGTTGGTTTTGACTTTTTGAATGACCCTAATCCCACCAACAAATTTTCTTTATGCTTAAGATGAATCTAATTGGTTTTCTAATACCTAGAACTCAAAGAATCCTAACTAGCAAATGGCCCACAATTAATTTACCTTGATAACTGGTGTAATTACCATGTGCTGGGGATTGTGTGAGGCCTTGAGGAAATGCACATACGTAGGACGGCCTTCCCCTTCGCAGGACTCACAGTCCAGCGGAGGACGCAGCTGCACAGCTCCCCTTCTCTGAGTTCCTGGATTTACCACCCTGGGCGCCAATGACCCTTTCTGAGGGTACTCAGCACAGTCTCCCCACAGGAGCAGCAACAGCCCCCTTTCCTCTTTATATTCCTATTATCCACTGCAATCACAAAGACCCTCGGACTATTTGTAATGGGAATAAGTGAGATGCAGTGATAGTAACAACAATGCTGCTTTATGGTTTTCAAAGCCCTTTCGGATCAATTATCTTAAATGCCAAGAATATCCAGTCCATGGGGTCTTTATAGTAGAAAGTTGATGTTTATCAGGCATCACAGCCGAATAAAAACATCCTGTAAGACCTTCAGCTTCCTTCCCTTTTTCCCTTTTCTTATCTAATCTTAATCTGGTTTTCTAAGGAGGCTTTCTTACTGGGAAAATAATGAACTAGTGGCTGGGAGAAGGAGAAGAAGGTTGATAAAAGTAGCTGGATAATATGGCTGCATTTCCGGAAATTAAAATTAATTGGTTTCTGTAGAAGATCAATCTCAGGGCCTCAGGTGCCTAACAACCTGATTCTCCAGTGGTGACCTGGGAAACGAAGCCCAGGATCTGCAAAGTTGAGACCCCAACACCTCA